CACACACACACAAAAAAATTGTTATGAGTAAGACTACAGGGTCCAAAGATACAGGTATTTTTAAGGTTCCTATACACATGGCCAGGAAGTTAGTCTATTTAATAGTTTGAAGGTCATATAAATATTAACTCATTTAATTCTCTCACAACTGTGTAGAGCAGATACCATTATTCTCATTTTTTCTGATGGAGAATCTACAGTAAGTGACAGTGCTGAGACTTGAATCAGGCAGATTAGCTCCACAGCCCACATGCTGAACCATGGGCCCATGCTGCTGGTGCTGGGGGTTGCGCCCTCCCTGGCAGTGTAGGTGTGCCCATTTCAGGGATGCTAGCCAACCCCAAGGGACCATCGTGTCCTCCTTGGGGAACTGTCGTGTTCAGACCTGCTCCGCCTGCTCTGTGCAGGTGACCTTGGCTGAGGTTTTCACACTTGAACACTTTGGCCATCCCTCCTCTCCACTGCAGCCCTTCCATACCACTCCTGGGGGTCTCCCTCTACCTCAGAAACAGTGCTCCCCTCTGCCTTCCCCAGAGTCCTCCCCAGCAGCCCCCACCCAGTCTCTCACACCTTCCCTACTTCCTGCCCTTTGCCTGGCTCCTCCCCTTCTGCTTTGAAACACGGTTTTCTTTCCTCCTAAAATGGATTCTCCTTCCCCTGCCAATCTTCTTGGAAAAGTACCTAATGTTCATCACCCCCATTTTCTCATCTCCACTCACTTCTTAATCCTGAGAATCTGCCTGACCCCCTCCCATGCCACCTGCCGTAACGACTTTCCCAGGGTCCCCACATAAACCTGTGGATCGCGCTCCCCTACCCCTCAGTGGCTGGATCTGCTTATTTACAGTCCTTCTGTTTCTCTGCCCCAGCCTGCCCCAGGCTTTGTTCTCAGTGCACACCACCAGCCACCACTGCTCCACTAAGGACTCAGATCGGAGCCCCTTGCTCTCCTGGCTGCAGCCCCCCGTTTCTACCTGGGGTTCTGGAACCTTCACCTGACCCACAATGGAACTCACCATCCTTCCTCCCCCACAGGCTTCTCCTCCTGACTTCCTCCTGTCTCTTATTTCATCTCACCCTTGTCACTCCTGTTTGAAACTTCAGAGTCACCTCTGAGTCCTCACTGTCCCCCCTCCCACTCGCCTCTGACCTCTGTCCCCTCCTTTCCTTCCTCCCTCGATCAGGCCCCTCGTTGGTCTCTGACTACATAACAGCTTCCGGCTGAGCTCCTGGCACCCGCTTCTCCCTGCCTGGACCCTCTGCCCACTGCGCACGGCAATTACTTTTGTCTCCTAGAGCTCAGCTCTGTCCCTCCCCTGCTCCAAAACCTCTGTGGCACACGGAACTAAGCAAAGTCCCCTGCAGCTCTGGGCTGCCATTATTGACTCGGCTTGCTCTCCCCGCCAGCGTGCTGGTCCCCTGGTGTGCCCTGTGCCCTGCCTCCTGATCTTCATCTGGGCTCTTCCCTTCCCAACACTGGAGCGCCAGCCCTTGGAGTCTCCGTTGTTGCTCCAGCATAAACATCAGCAGGATTTCTCTCCTGCTCTATCATGGCCTCCTTTTTTTTTTTTTTTGTGAGGAAGACTGGCCCTGGCCTAACTCCGTGCCCATCTTCCTCCACTTTATATGGGACGCCGCCACAGCATGGCTTGATTAGTGGTGCGTCGGTGCATGCTTGTGATCTGAACCCAGGGCCGCCAGCAGTGGAGTGTGCGCACTTAACCGCTATGCCACAGGCCAGCCCCTATCGTGGCCTCTTTTTTTTTTGTGTGAGGAAGACCAGCCCTGAGCTAACATCCAATGCCAATCCTCCTCTTTTTTGCTGAGGAAGATTGGCCCTGGGCTAACATCCGTGGCCATCTTCCTCTACTTTATATGGGACGCTGCCACAGCATGGCTTAATGAGCGGTGCGTCGGTGCGCACCCGGGATCGAACTGGCGGACCCCGGAGCCGCCGCTGCAGGGGAGTGCGCGCACTTAACCCCTTACACCACCTGGCCGGCCCCTATCATGGCCTGTTGAAGGCAGCATTGTGTCCCACTCACCTTGGAAGCACCAAAAGTCTGGGGTTTAAACTGCTGTTTACTGAGCACCCACTGTGTGCCAGGCGCCCTGCTGGGAGCTCTCCCTGTGTTAGTTCGTTCAGTCCTCACTGCGCCCATTTTATAGTCAGGAGGGGAGGCTCTGAAAGCTTAGTTACCAACCCCAGGTTCTACCTACAGCTTCCACGGAACAAGTTGGAGGCTTCCCTCCTCCCCTCTCCTCCTCCTCCCCGCCCAGGGCCACCACCCTGGAGCCTTGGTTCCCCCTCCCCCACATCTGCAGGGGCCCAGAGGCACTGGGTGGCAGGTCTGCTGACTCCCTTAACTCTCCAGCTGGCAGAGAACTGGTGAGCAAGGAGGGCTACCGGCGGGCACGGCACGTCGTGGGTGAGATCCGGCGCACAGCCCAGGCAGCGGCGGCCCTGAACCGCGGGGACTACAGAGCCTTCGGCCGCCTCATGGTAGAGAGTCATCACTCACTCAGGTGAGGCCCCTTGGGCGCCTGGCACCTCCCAGGTACAGGGTGTCCCCAGGGTTGGGTGGGGCCAGTCCCAGGCCCGCCTCCTCGCCTCCTCCTATATCCTCTCTGCAGGGATGACTACGAGGTGAGCTGTCCGGAGCTAGACCAACTGGTGGAGGCTGCGCTATCTGCACCGGGGGTTTATGGCAGCCGCATGACAGGTGGTGGCTTTGGTGGCTGCACAGTGACCCTGCTGGAGGCCTCTGCCGCTCCCCGAGTGATGCAGCATGTACAGGTGGGCAAGCGCCAGAGCCTGGGGTGGGGAGAAGTGGGTTCCCGGGGCCCTGCCACGCTGAGACCCCACCCACCTCTCCCACAGGAGCAGTACAGTGGTACTGCCACCTTCTACCTCTCCCAGGCGGCCGACGGTGCCAAGGTGCTGCACTTGTGAGGCGCTCCCCTGGGACAGCACACAGTGCACAGGACCTGCCAGGGGCAAGTCACAAAGCTCCATGCTTCTGGTGCCTGCCCTCTGCATTGAGGTACTCAATAAACTTGTGTCTCCGACCACAATACCTGTGTGCCTCTGGAGGTGGGGTGGGTGTGCTTGGGCCTCAGAGAAGGGTGGGTGTCAGAACCGCTCCCCTGCTCTGGGCAGGCCCCAGGAGAATGGACAGGGCAGAGCCAAGTGGTAGCAAATCTTGTATTAAGTGCAGAACAAAGCTGGGTCCTTGTCATGCTGCTCCCAGCTCTTTGGTTACAAATGGGCTTGGGCCCAGGGGGTAGGGGATTGCTAGAAGGGCCTTCTGGGACCTCTGCCCCCTTCATGCCTCTGAGGACACTGGCCCGTACTCTGTGGCCAGAGGCGTTGGCCCTGAGGTCAGCATGCGGGTGGGCTGCGCCGCCAGGGGTCCCAGGATGGAGTAGCTGAGGCAGCGCCAGGGAGGGGAGGCAGGGAGGGGGCCCAGGTTCCAGGACACTGCTAGGTGGCGGTGGGGGGCTCAGGTCTGGAAGAACTGTTGGTCCACTTGGGTGTTGAGTGTTCCACTGGTGGTCAGCGTCCGGCTCACAAACTCCTGGGTCACATGCCGAGTGAGGGAGCCACCAGCTTCCAAATGCTGGGAGCCCAGGGTCAGTCCGTCTGCAGGGGGAAGAGGCACTGAAGGACCCTGCCTGGGTCCCTACCTCTCTTCCTCTGTTAGCTCTGTGCGCCCCCAGGAGAGCCAGGAGCTCCCGCCCACCAACTCACCCAGCAGGAAGGGTTCAATGGTGCTGGTGTGGGTGGTAGTGATACTGCTGTACTCGCCTGGCAGTGGGTGCTGGAAGAGCCCGGAGTGGCTCCCCAGCTGTGGGAAGGGGCCTGGAGTGGGCAGATGGGCCAGTCAGAGGATGGTGCCCGGAGAAGGTGTGGCCAGAGAAGGTGGGGTTAGAAGGGGCGAGGCGCCCTACCTCCATCCTGGGACTCGATGGTGATGATACCCTCACGCTCTGGCCCGAAGCCTTGGGTGGTCTTGGCCTGCACCTTGAACTTGTAGGGCACATTCTCGCTGAGGCCTGGCACAGTCAGCCGGCTCTCAGGGCTGTCGCCATCCACCAGGAACGTGGTAGCTGGCTCTGGACAGGGAAGACGCCTTTACTTTAGCCCCTGTGGCTCCCTCTCCACTCCTCCCCTGGCCACCCCTGACCCTGGGGAGGACAGCACCTCCTCCGTGGGCCATCTCACAGGTCACCAGGTAGCCAAGGATATCCCCATCGGGCCTGCGTGGCCGCTCCCAGCTCAGCTGCAGTGAGTCTGGGCTCAGGGCAGTGAACACCAGTGGGCCCGGGGCACTGGGCGTGCTTAAAGTGAAGGTGGAGCCTGGGGGCAGCAGAGGAAGAGTGTCAGTGTGTAGGTGAGTGGGAACATGGTGGGGGCAGCCATGGGGGTGGGGGAGGCAACTCACCTGGCAGGGGGCAGAGTGGGCTCTGGGGGTGCACCTGTGACTCAATGGTGATGACACCCTCGCGCTCTGGGCCCCAGCCTTCCTGGCTCTGGGCCCGCACGCGGAACACGTAGGAGTGGTTGGGCAGAAGGTCTTCCACCACCACGGAGGTCTGGCTGGGGTTGGGGATGTTGAGTCGATGCAGCTCACCTGGGGTAGGGGAGGGGGCAAACAGCGGAGCAGCGTTATTCCCACTCCTGGCCTGATCCCACCCCTTCCCCAGGCTGCCACCAAGACCTGGTCATCAACCACCCAGCACTAGCTGTGGTTTGGGTACAGGTTTGGGGTCAGCCTAGTATAGTATGGTTGGTGGTTCAGGTTACACAGTCTACAAGGGATGAGTGGAGCCTGAAATCCCACCTATGTTCTGGCTGTTTATGGGCCCAGGTCATGCTGCTGTGAGTGTGTCTGCCAGAGAAGATAAGTGCCACTTCCCAGTTCCCACAAAGCCATCTCATAGGGTAGCAGAGACCCTAGGTGCTCTCACCAGGTGCTTCGTAGGCCAATGAGGCCTTGTTAGTCAAAACCTAGCCGAGGGAATGACCTGGAGAGGCCCAGGTTGATGGATGAGACCTCAGAAGAGAGGAGGCAATGAAGGGCAGTGAGGGCATGGAAGTGAGAGCCCCTCTCAGGCTGGTTGGGGGGGGGGCATTAGTGGTCAAGGGACTTGGGTGGATTCTTGACACAGCTGGGTGCCCCTGTCTGTCTATCGTGGGGCCAGGCCTTGCAAGGCTGCGTGCCCACAGCCCGATAGCAGCCGTGCCTCACCGCCATTCAGCAGCTGGTACTCCACGCTGTAGCCCTGCAGCGCCTGCTCACACTGTGGTTCCTGCCAGCTCACTTTCAGAGATGTGGGTCCCAGGGCTGAGAACACCAGGCGGGTGGGTGTGTTGGGCACACCAGCAGCCAAGCGGGAGCCTGGAGACAGGAGGCCACAGTCAGCATGTGTCAGGGGTCCCTGGGCAAGAGTTCTAGTTCTACCCCCTGACCTCCCTCAGCTGTCATGTCTACACTGTCCACTGGCCAGGCAGTTGCTCACCCTGCAGCACCCTGTCCAGGCCACCCAGCACCTCCTGCATGTCCTCAGAGTGGGTATGGGCCCTGCCTGTGCCGAGAGAGGGCGAGCACCATAAGCCTGCCAGCCCCCCACCACTCCTCAGCTGGCCTGGCCCCTCTCCTGCCCCAATCCCAGCCCGACACCCCTGGAAAGGCAGAGGCTGTGTTAGGCATCAGCACTGATGTGGATGGAATGGAGGGTGAGGCGGTGGGCATGGGCAGTGGCTGCAATGGGCAGATGGATGACAGATGGAGCAGGACAGCTGTGGAGACACAGGATGGCCACCCCTGTACTACCTGGGCCCCAAGAGGGCGCTGCTGGCCGCCCAGCCAGGATTATAGAGTCTTGTGAGTCCCCGGAATGGGGGAACCCCTTCATCTGAGCCCGACTCCGGGACCCCAGGGCCCAGGACAGCGGAAGCCTGCTCCTCCCGTCTTCCCAGATGGGAGGGAGGCCTAGGGCAGGACAAAACAAGAGTGAGGGGGCAGGAAGTGTGTGTGTGTGTGTTGGAGGATGGGCAGTGGGGGACAGCAGGCCAGCAGCCGGAGCCTCCAGGAGCTAGAAGAGAGGAAGGGTTAACGGGTGAGGCAGGGCTGGCGGCAGCACTCACTGTGGGAGGAGAGGGAGGTGAGGGTGGAGTAGTCCCTGGGCAGCGTGGCCGAGTGTGAGTGTTCTGTGCGGGTCAGAGAGTGGTAGTCCCGCGTGAGGGTGGAGGACGTGCTCAGCACGCGGTGGGGCAGGTGTGGGCTCAGGTGGGTGCCGTAGGTGGCGTTGGCTGCGGTCATCCTGTGTAGGGAGTTGGCGCTGCCAGGGAAGGCATAGTCCATCCGCCCATTCACCAGGTGCTCTGCAGGGGGAGAGCAGGGTCACTTGGCCAGGGCTGCACCAGACCTGGAGCCCCATGGGGCAGGCTGCGGCTCTGGGAATCCCAGGATTACCTACCCTCTGGGGGACCTTGGCATAAATACAACCAGCTTCCCTAGGCCCACCAGGGACAGAGGCCCAATGTCCTTGAAGGAATCAAGGAGCCACACAGACTTATGCAGCTCATCTCGTCTGGCCTGGTCAGATACTACTATGGACGATCTGAGCACAGTTGACCCCAGCTGGGAGACTTACTGCCCCTGCAGTCAGCCCCACGGTGGGGAGTGACCAAATGCCTGCCCTCCTGTTTCTTGAGGCCTCTGAGAGGTCTCCTTGGATAGCAGGGCCTGCTCCCTGGATACAACAGACTTCTGAGGTTGGATGCTCTGGTGGCAGGCCTGCTTTGGGGAGAGACCAAACGCCTGCCCTGGGGGTCCCTTGGCTCTGGGGGTCTGCCTCCGCGCAGCTGCACGTCCCCTGACTGGGCAGGGGTCCTTAACCGGCAGCCCGGCCGCAGCTGGCTCAGGCTGGGGCCCTGAGACAGCGACTGAATGAGCCTCGGTGAGTGCGGGGTCAGGGTGCGCCGGGCAGGGCCCGTCACCTCCGGGGGGCCCGGGCGTGGCGCCGCGGGCCAGGCCGCCGCCCTCCCC